TTATGACTCATAAAATACGTAAAATACACAAGGTCTTCAGTATTAACTAATTGTCTACACACATACAGTAATCCATTCATAGTTTTAATAGCTTGTATGATTAAACAAGAATTTCAACATAAAGAGGGATTAAACTAACAAAAAATAGTCACTATTTTCAAAAATAATTGTTTTAAATAGGTACTCCAAAAATATTACTAAGATACCTAAGTAATTAAAAATGAACACCTAAGGATATACAAATTTAAAGTGTACCTATTATAGGTAGGTACCTAGGTAATTTGATTTTGTATTTACTAATTACTAATCAGCACCTAATCACATTATTTAACAATATACTAGGTAGATATGTACCTATATAATCCAGTACTTAATTAATGTAAAATATGTAGGTAAGTACTGGACTATATCTTATTATAATTATAATTCTTAAACACAGAGGTGTCTTAAAATTATTATAAAGAGATCTTATAAATAATTGTATAATTGGGTACCTAATGAACTGGAATATGGCAATGAGTTTTCTGAAATATATTATTTAAAATTAAGAGAACACTTTTGCCAATAAAATAAATATTAAAAAATATAATATGTTTTGCATACTTACACTTCCTATACCTACCTACTTTAATCTACTCTAGTTAATATATTATTGTTGAATTATTCTAAAATAAATAAATAACAAATTGTGGATTCTAGGTGAGTTAATATTATATAGGTAGGTAGTCATTAAATAAGAAAGTAGGTACATTCTACAAACTAATTAGGTGGATCGAGGCCCTTATCCAAACCGAGGAGGAGAAATAAATGGACCGACAAAAATATTTTACTTTAATGCTTATTTTTTTTTTCATTATTTTGCTATGTGGACCCCAAATAACTTACTAAACAAAAAAGATATAGGTACTAAAACTAAACACATTTTTTCAAAACATCCGAACCCCTTTAAAACAAATTACAATCCCAGACCTAAATCAATAATGAATAAATATTGCAATGTTCAAACGTGTAGACTATTAATTTTATTTATTTTTTAACTAACTACCAATGTATTACTTACATGAAATTAAAAGAAATTTGTTTATTATAAATATCATATAATATAGGTAGGTTAGATCTATTTGTCTTTAAGTATAAGTGCATCTAGGAACATAGGTACCTACATGAATGACCATAAAATGTCACAAAATGTCTTCAAATTACCCAGCAACAATTAATAATAAAAGTCGTAACTTTTACTTACCGATTCACGTTTTTAAGATAAATACTAAACTCAATTAAATAATTGTTTAATAATGCACCTAAATAATAGGTTAGTAAAACCAATATTCAAGGACATCTATTTAAAGTTATAGGTAGGAAGTGCAAGTGTATACATATTTTATTCATAGGTTTATCCCTCGGTTTATCCTATATCAAAATATATTTACTAAACCATAATTGTAAGTAGGCAATCTGTTAAAAAAAATCAATCGGGTATTTTACATAATTGTAAATACACGAGAAGATAGACACATAAAAAAATATACATGAAAGTACCGGGTAATTACATCAAACCGGTATTACACCAGTTTGTCATCGGTCAATCGACAAAATGTACTTTCCTTCAATGTTTACTAACTTTTTGTCGATCAACTTTCGTGTCAAAACAGTGTAATACCGACCTCAGGTAGGTACCCAGTTCTTAATTAATTCCAATAGGTACATGTATATTTTTATACGTGTATATCTTCTTGCCTATCTAAAATTATGGAAAATAACTGTTTGATTGTTTAATTTATTTTATACCGACTCATTACAATATTCAAATTTGGTAATGGGTATTATTCAATACGCATACAAATTACAATGATAAGTATACCAAACAAAATTAATAAAATATGACACTTTTAATGACGTAATGGTGTACCCAATATTCAATAAGCAGATAAAATATAATATAGGTATCGAGATATAGGTACACATACCTAATACGTTGCGGACTGGTTGGCTAGAGGTTGCTTATCTTGTGTCAATAATGACTATTTAAAATATACAGGGCTTCTTGCGTTAATGAAGAGCACACTCAAGGGTATGTAAAAATATAACAAAAAAAAAACTGTCTATAATTACCAGGAAAAAACCCTAGAGCCTAATGTTTTTGGACTCGAGAGCACTGCCTAATGCCGAGGCACTCTTGAATAATCGAATTTTGGAAACAAATTCGATACGATGGGAAGACAAAAAAAAAACCGTTGAATATGGTTGGATAGTAAGGTAAGTTTTTAATGTTCACAAAACGAGCAAACGTTTACTTACTAAGGACTCAATGAGATAGAGAAGAAGAGCATATTTTGTGTTATACATATTCAATATTATGGAAATAATTATGCTAATTAAATATAACGCAAATATGCAAATATCATGTCAAAGTACGCACTGTCGTCTATAGACGAACGACAATAAGGTGTGAGAAAAAAAAAAACGATCTTATTCAATTCAAATTTATCAGTTGGTCGCGCGAGACGTCCTGACCTCTGTGTCGGACGCGTATTATCATAAATCACACTCACACACAAACACACAAACACGGAATAGGTACACAATCTTGGGCAGGAATAATAATATTATTATTGATGTCAGACGAAACACCGCCAAATGTTTCGTGTATTTTACAGAAATTAATCGCACGAACTACGATTGAAGGAGGATAGACAGCGTGTATCGTATAATGATTATTCTACAAAGGTGTGGGCCTGTCGGACCGTCCTCCTTCGTGCAAAGTAAAATGCCAAATTATTTACCTCTTCGTCGGACGTCGAATATGATGTTACGGAAAAGGACGACCTCGTCGGCCACTACGCGTATTCTTCAGGAGCCGACCGACGGAGTGTTACGACAAAGTCTGCGACGACAATACTGAGGTTACGCGACGTCTCTCGTGTGGCGGCACTCGAAGGCGAAAACTGCGAGTAGCGAGTGGCGGCCGACGGACGGCGGTGGATCGTGTGCGACCGGCTACGAAATCCAAACGACTCTCGAGTGTGACTTCCTCCTCCTTCTACAACGACGACTACTTTATAATAAAGATAGGCAGGTAGGTACAGCGCCGGCTGTATACTGTAGTATTGTGTACACTTATCGGCGTTCAAGACGACGGCGATAAGCAAATTTTACGACTGTTAAAATATGGCCCGACGCAGTCGTGATTTAAACGACGAAACGATTTATAATAATAATTAACGAAAAAGCCGATAACGCAAGCGACAGACGTTCCGAGGGGGGGCCACGTCGGAGGACGACGACGGCGGATGAGTGTAGGAAATTATTTATAAATATAATTGCACATACACATTATGTATACACCCATACAATATTGTATTATTATTATTATTACTATTATTACCGCGACGGCGGCTGATGATCGACACGGTGTTTGTGTGTAATAATAATAATAATTACGACTGTAATTTATTGAGCACCGCAAATGATAATATTATTGTTGTCGTTGTTATAGGTACAGTGGAGTGCGAGTTGCGATTTGTTCAGTAATTCGCAGCACTATCGTTGGTGAGTAAATAATAATATGTATTATTTTTTTCACGGCGACAACGACAACAACTGTGACACGCACGTACACACTACACTGGCGTACTCCGGTACTCGTGGTATCGGTCGCGGAAACGGTTACGGGATTGGAAATCGGCGTTGGCGCAAAAGGTGATCGCTCCCGGTCGGATCGCGGCGGCGTGACGTCACCTATGCGGCCTGTGGTCCGTAAGGCCGAGTACGCGTGGCTGCCGCCGTCGCCGCGTCGTCATGGAACAACCGCGGCCGCGGCCACACCTGCGCCTCGAACACCCGGCGCTTGAACGAAACGGCCGTACGCGCACGTGACGACGTGGTCGACAGTCGACCCGGCGGCGCCGGACTGCCGACGTATGGCTGGGCGGGCTTTCGCGATCGCGCCACTCCGGCAGCGGCCAATGGGAAACGGGCACACCGCCTGGGCCACGACGCTAAAATAGTAAATTATTACGCGTACCGAAATGCGAATTCCGAGCGCAACTACGGAACGGGGTATTTTTCTCTTTTCTATTTTCTTTTCGCCTCAGTTCATTGGATTTTTTAGAACATAATTCGTTCATAAACGAATATTATAAGTGCCGTCGTGCCGACAACAGTATATATTTTATTAATTAGATACGTAATACGTATTATATTGAACAGTGGAAACAAACTATCGCGACCCGTTTCTCCGCCATGACCAGTTTTAAACGTCATAATAATAATAATATGCTGCTGACTGGATTTTTTATGAGCGACAGTGATTATTTTTCGTTTCAAGGTTGTCGTTGTTGTTGTTATCGTCATCATCATCATCATCACCAGTCTCCACTTTCATTATCATAGTCATCATAATATTCGGTTGTCGTGTACACTGTACAGTACTACAGTACAACGTACTCGTTTACGCTTCGGGTCTTCGGGAACTAATTAGTACGACCAACACACGTCACACGATATACGACATGTAATATTGCGTAACAAAAAACAAGTAACAACTACATAAATTCAATAAATGTAATTATGGTCAATACCTTACTTAAATACAATTTGTTCAAACAAGGTTCGATTTTTATTCAGAAATAACTTAGGTAATAATATTAGAAATATTATATTGCGAAAATAAATTAATGTTTTGTAGTACAATAGGTTACAACATAGGTACTATATTAATGGGAAAAATTGAAACAATACTTATAATAATTACTTTAATTAGGTACCTACATAAATACTTACTAAGTACTAATTAAATATACAAAAATGTTAATTGTTGAATTAAAAAAATAGTAAATACATGACAAATATTGACAATAATAATATACATTTCAGAGTTAACAAAAATATAATATGACAAAATCTATGACAAAAATTAATTCAAAAAGTGGTTAAAAGACTGAAGATCACATGAGCAATTATTTATCCAAAACAAATAGGGTAACCAAACAACATATCAATCATTTTAATTTAGGTTTTTTTATATTTTTCTTATCTGGGGATGTTGACATATCTCTAGACTTTTTATTATTGGAACTCTTGCCAGCTTTGGTACTTTTATAAGCCAACGACATTTTTGTAATATTATTTTTGTATACATCTTCGTGCACTACCACTCGTTTTGGATAATGCACTCCAACCACACAACCAGCTCTTTCTTGAATAGACTTGGGTGCCGACCATGGTTCATATATATACTGATCCGGATATTTGGCCAATTCTGGGATATATTTTCTGATGTAATCACCACTTTTATCAGTCTTCTTACCAAATGCAACTGGACTGTAGACTCTAAAAAATTGATGGAAAAATGCTGAAGCCGACAACCACATCCAATTCCCAGCGTTCATTGACCAATCAGCATCAAGCAATAATTCTTCAAATACAGCTAAACCCTTTTCCCAAGATATCCACAAGTCCCCTCGGGTTAAAAAACATGCAACAGCATGTCTGGCTAAATGGTGTATCCAACCTTCATCTCTCAGCTGTCTCATGATGGCATCAATGAATGGATATCCTGTCTTACCATTTGTCCAGGCTTCTAGCGCATCAGGATTGTCGTCCCATGGTACCTGACAACAAATTGAATTTCCAACCATTTTATCAAAATTGGGAGTTGAAGCACCAACAGTATAATAAAACTCTCGCCAATACAACTGACCAATCAGAGATACAGGAGGTTTAGAATGAGGGCTATTACCGATAACTTCTTTTAATCTGTAATAAAAATGACTAGCCGATAAACACCCAAATTTCATGTACGGACTTAGTACAGTAGTGCTGGGCTTTAGGCTATTCGGTGATGTATTTGGTTTTTCAAATTTACATACCCATGTCTTGTTTTTCATATATTCTTCCAAACGCCTGAGAGCTTCTTTTTCTCCACCAGGGTACAAACATGGTTTAAGTTCTGCAGGGTTGAAACCCTTTAATGTTAACAATTCATCCAGTGTTGGCACATCAAACTCTGGGTTGTTTAAGTCATCATCAAGTAGACACTCAGAAGGCAACATATCTGGTGCAGGTATTGGTCGACGAGGAGTTGGCATCGAGCCGACAACAGATACAAATTTCTGATAAGTCATTGGAACGCTGCCTCTATTTGCCCTGAGTACAAGTTCAGTGTTATAAATAGTGTGAGAGACCTTTTGTTCTACTTTAACACCATGTTTTCTGGCCAGTTGTTCCACTTGATTGTCTCTCTCGCGAGCATACGGCTCAGTGTCCAACTCGAAAGTCAACAGTTTTACATTCCATTTGGCGAACAAGTCTGGAAAGACTTCGTGTGGTAACCCTCTGATAACGTACAGCCGAGTGCCCAGTTTTCGGAGTGTCATGTCCAAGTCCACGAGACTCTGCTGCAGAAACCTCCAGCGATTCGCACCCGCCCGTATGTATTTGCGGAAATAAGGGTCTAGTATGTAAATAGGCCTGAGCTTGTAAAGCTCACCGCTACTGTTCTTCGCTTCACACGATAACTTGAACGCTGGGTTGTCGTGCAGGCGCATACCTTTCCGGAACCAGTGTACAGTTGTCTCATGTCCGGCATCAGTATCATTCTTGTCCATGTTGTTAATATTATGATATTATGACCTTGTATCTTGTTATGCGTAAGTACATCAAGTGGACAAGGTAGGTAATCCGCAAATTTAAGATAGGTAGGTACCTGCTGTTTTGGACGGCGCGATTCTAATGAGTATATTTCGAGTCTTTTAGTAGTTTCAGATTTTTTGATGTCATAGGTATAAAAATAATGAACAATCAATAGTATTCGTTTTAAAATTGAAAGTTCCAACTTTAGTCTTGAACTTTTAAACGTAAGAATCTATAATCTATTATAATCTAATCAAACGATTTTTATCTTTATCGTGATATCGTGTGATAACAGTTGTATACAAATTTATGATAAGCTCCTAGCGCCTATTTCTGTGCATTAGCGACATACAACTTTACTACAACCGTTCTACTCTTGTCAAATTTTGTCATGGACATTGGACATACCCAAGGGCGGATCTAGGGGAGGGTTCAGGAGGTCAGCTGACCCACAGTTAATACTTTCTGATCAAATGGCCTCTTTTCAGATCTTGAGTAGTTGGACACTTAAATAAACACATACAGTATATATGAATTTTTTTTGTTTTATATACCTAGGCACCTAGCACACAAGTATAGATTTCTAATTTGGTGTTAATAAGTGGCCCCTTGAAATTTCCTGACCCACAGTTTCCTAACTCTGGGCCCGCCCCTCACATTACATGATATAAGTATATGACTAACTATTAGTTGATGATATAACTAATAGTTCGTTGTATCAAGGGAAATACAACTGACATTGTGACAATGTGACATCAGTCATCAGTGTTGTTGTTTAAATTTTGAACTTCTAAAAAAAGTTCTATTATAATTATTTGAAGATTGAAGTCCTTTTACATTTTTAAGCTATAGGAATGGGGGCAAATGTAAGCAAATACAATATTTGTTTCATAGAAAATTTAACAATAATTACCAATTGTGTTTAAATTACTTTTGTTATAAATGTGAGAGTATAATAAAATACAAGGAACAATAATAGATTCATTTTCTATGGAAAAATTGTATTTATATTTGCCCAATTTAATTTAACATTTATGTTAAATATTAAATAATTGAAAATTCATTAAGATATTCAAGATGTAGTTAGTGTGAATATTTTAGTACAAATTTGTTTTACTTATTCTTCAAGAAGATAATGGGCCCCACTGAACATGGGGTCTGAACAACGTGGGTCTATATATGATATACCTATACCTACCGATATAGATTATAGAGATCAGTGTCGTATTGACGGGGGGTCCATGGGGTCCGGACCCCCCCCCCCATTGACTCGTGTCTCGTACATGTTAAATGTTGTGCAGTTTTTACATGATTAAAAAACAAATTTTATCATACGATTTTACTGATTTTATATAAAATTGTCGAAGCTATAGTTATATCAACATTTTCAATAAATATCGTGATTATTTTTATCAGTTGAGTACCGAAAATGGTTGAAAAATACCAAGTTTATTTTTTAATTCAAATATTTTGTAGTTTTGTACATTGCCAGTATCTACAACCACTCCAGAGAGATCTTTTTCAACCTTTTTAAGGTTGAAAAGCTATCTAAGATCAACTATGAATGAAGTAGGTACCTAATGTAATTAAGGAAATATTTGTATAAAAGTTATAACTTATAACATAACTGTATAGGTATTCGATTCTGAGGGATCTATTGGTTTTACAATGGTGTTTATTTTTTTTTTCTGTATACAAAATTTCTTCCAGAAGGAGTCCTTCGATTTCAACATGTATAGACATATAGTAACTTATCTTTTAGAAAATTGGATCAAGATAGTACTTTTTAATAGGTACTTACTTACATTTTTCGATTTTCTCAATAGTTATTTAATGCCACTGTAAAAACCACCAAAAAATTACGAAAAACCGCTAAAAATGGGATTTTAATTTCTAACACTTTGTCTATCACCATAGAAAAGAATAAAAAAAAATAAAAATATTTCATTATTAATTCAACTTACCGCCTATAATATAAATAAAAACAATATAAAATATCCAGACTGACAATCCGTCTTCGCTCAGAATCATTTTTCTTATACAATGATATTATGATATTATATCATTGAGTTCAAGTTTAAAACAATCCATTATACATTGACCCACTTGTAACCTACTGTACAGCAGCAGAGTGACATCCACTTACCCTCTTTTTTTTAAATTTGTTTTGTACATATTATTATTTAATAATTAAAAACTCGAAAATTTTATCGTCTTATAAATATGGTATTTTATTTAATAAAGAGTAAATGGGTGGTGCGGGGGGCTTCGTCCCCCGTGGCTTTGTGTTCTGAAAATTATCTGGACCCTCCCCATGACAAATTCCTAAATACGCCCAGTGCCGTAAAAATCATAGGTGCAGGCGGTGCACAGCACTGGGGCCCGCAGGGTCAAAGGGCCCTTGAGGCCTTGGTCGGATAGATGTAAATTTTTTTTTTCAAATTTAATTCATAATAATTGTATTATTATCTTGTATTTAATTTCATAAAAGGCAATGTATAAACTAATAGCCTGGTCCGTTACTTGCAATTGTTAATCAAAATATTGGGAAATTTATTAAGCCAAAAGTAACATAAATAGATTTATAATATTTATTGTGAATAATGATTTATCAACAGCTTTTTGTGATGTTCTAACAGCTTGTAAAATTTTTTTGACGATTCCTGTAACTGTGGCTTCAGCTGAAAGATCTTTTTCCAAACTTAAATTGATAAAACATTACTTGAGAAATTCTACTTTCCAAGAAAGATTAAGTAATATATCAGTATTAAGTATTGAAAGAGGTCGTACTGATGAAATTAATATCAAAAAGGTTATTGCTGATTTTGCAAATGCAAAAGCTCGGAAGAAAATGTTTTTTTAATAATTAAACGTTATAAAATATGTAATAGGTATATTATTATAGTATAATGATAGTTATAATTATTTTTACACACTTTTCTTAAGTTCGCTTTCACGTCTGTCTGTAATCAAATCTTGCACGCTCGATTTGAGGCACTTTTTGATGATGAAAAATTCTGAAAATTGGTTTTGACCTTGGTTTTGGATGACAATACAATATCCGTTGTCATTTTGGGACCCGGACCTCCAGGTCGGCGATGATGGGTGTGCAAAGTCATCTCCGAGGAAGTACATTTACGAAGAGTTTCTCTGGGTCAAGGCGGGTTAACCTAACCATTACTCGCCGTACTGAAGTAAATTAGCCGTACAGCATATAACAGAATAATGTTGTTAAAATAAAAAAAAAATTTTCATATAAAAAAATTTCAATTTGTTGTGTGAAACAAATTAAAAGTCTTGTCATTTCACGACCCAATAAATCATAATCATCAGTAGTTTGATTCTTTTTATTAAATATAAGAAATTTGTTTCATAAATATAATTAAACGTTTAATAAAAAAATTTACTTTTAACTAAAAAGGCGAAAATAAAAAAATAAAATAAAATTTTAAAAACACACTTCTAAAAAAACATATTTAAAAAAAAAAGGCAGGTAAGTGGATGTCGCTCAGCTGTACAGTAGGTTACAAGTTGGTAATTGTTTAATGGATTGTATTAAACTTGAATTCAATGATATAATATCATTGTATAAGAAAAACGATTCTGAACGGAGACGGTTTGTCAGTCTGTATATTTTATATTGTCATTAATTATTTTATTTATTTAATTATTATTTTTTTTATTCGTTGCTTAATAAACAAATTGTTAGAAATTAAAATCCCATTTTAAGCGGTTTTTCGTAATTTTTCAGTACTTTTTCCCGTGGCATTAAATAACTATTGAGAAAATCGAAAAATGACCTCTCTAAAGTACCATCTTGGTCCAATTTGCTAAAAGATAAGGTACTATATGTTGAAATCAAAGCACTCCTTCTGGTAGAAATTTTGTATACAGGATATAAAAAAAAAAATAAAAAAAATAAACACCATTGTAAAACCACTAGCTTCCTTGCTCCGCTCAGAATCTAAAATAATGAAAAATTTAAAAGTGTGTGGTGCTCTTGACATATACTCCCAGTCACCATCTTATAAACAGGATTGAACAAAGAAGTGTACCTATGTGAGACTAAGCTCGGCTTAAATGTTTTGTATGATGCACCACACACTTTTAAATTTTTCATTATTTTTTTTTTTTTAAATATGTTTTTTTAGAAAAGTGTGTTTTTAAAATTTTTTATTTTTATTTCTAGTGCTATAATGAAAACTGTTGTCATGAAAACTCAAATTATTATTTTTTTTTGTAACTTATTTATTTTATCTACCTATGTAGTTTATTTTACAAGTTTTTTTTATTAATAAACTGTTTTATGTATCTCTAGAAAGAGGGGCCCATGCATTTTGTTTGCACCTGGGCCTTTGACTCTCTAGTTACGGCACTGAATACGCCACTAATAGAGTGTTATAGAGATAAGGGTTACTAACATTCCAAATTTCAATTAATTAACACACTAACACTGCAGTATAATGTAGGTATTATCAACAAAACTTTTACATCCACCATGCAGATACCTGCATAATATAGGTATAGGTACTATAAATACCTTTCTATTATCAATCTATTACAAAATATTGTTTTAAATGTTTTAAACATCTAAATTGATCAAACATGGTTTTGTTTAAAACGTTTAAAACAAATGATTTAAACAACATAAAAAAAAACAGTTTAAAACAGAAAATCATCATTTATGTGCATATAACTTATTATTTGTAAGTTCATACTGGCAACTCCTATTTATTATTATTTTTTATTTCATAACCAAATTTAAAATTTATAATGATAATTTTACTTATTTAAATTACTAACACTTCAATGGTTATATAATATATTACTTCTGTAGTTCTGTAGGTAATATATTTATTGATTATTTATTTATTTGTTCAAATTACATACCAATAAATAACATAACAATTACTAATAAGTAATTAGTACCTAATTAGTTGTATTCCAACATAAAAAAAAATATATATATATATAT